GTGAGCCCTAGAAATGATGTCAGGTTGAGTGCATCATCAGGTTGTTTCCAGTTAACAATCGCTGTTAGTTTTGATAGGTCCGGCTGTATGCCCTGTGGGCCTACTGTAGCTCCTGCGAACATCATTTCTGTCATGAAAAGTCAGCATTTTGTTGGCGATAGCGATAGGCTGTGTTTTCTGCACTGTTGTAGTATTTGCCTTAGTTTCACTGCCATTCCTTTGAACATATTGTCACTGCATCCTCTGTCGTCCACAATGAGTTCTAGGATGCCTTCCATGAGTTCTTTTTCTAGGCATTGTGAAGCAGTTGCTGAAAACATTGTTGGGGCTCCAGTCCAACCCATCGCCATTCTCGTGTACCAAAAGTAGCCCCTTCTGTCAACAAAGAACATGAATTACGGCTGCCATTTGCCTGGGACTTTGATTGCATAGAATCTGGATGCAAAGTCGAGCATGGACACATACCTGTGCCCGCTCAGTCACTGTTGTTTTGCTCTAATGTCTCCTTGGAACATCGGTGGTATCTGCGAGGCCTTGTTTAGTTCTGTGAAGTTTTGTGTTACCCTCCATTTTGGTGCTTCTCCTGTTTCTTTCGGCATGACTTGTTCTTTTTCCTGTGCATATGTTTGTTCTTTGAACAGTTGTGGTATGTTTGCTTCCATGCATTATCGGTTCAATTCTTGTTGTATGTTGTCCAGTGTCATGCCCTCTGTGGTATCATGGGTTTTTTGTGTGAGAACTGTAGGTGTGACATGCTTGATCTGGGGAATGTTTGCATGTTCGATTAGTCTGGCCTTGAGCATTTGATCAACCCATTTGTTCATGAACTGCTGTTGTGGGGGGTTCATTGGTCGTTGGCATATTGTGGTGTTGAACAACACGTCGTCTGGTAAGTTCAAGTTGACCTGGGCTCTGGGGATTGGTAGTACTTCACTGAGGGAGCATGCAAATACATCTGTGAATTCAGTTAGTAGTGCTATGACCTCTCTTTGTTCATTCAGTGTTAGATCGCTGCCAATCTTGATGTGTCTGATGATGTATTTGGTGTGCTTGGGTGAGAATGGGTTCATTTTCCTGGTGAACACATTGGTTCTGCTTTCTGTTTTTGTTTCCTCTTGTGTTACATTGTTGCATTCTGCTCTCTTTGTGGTTGTGTCATGTCGATGAAGTGGTTTTGCAGTACTGCTGTGGTGTTGCCATCTGTGACTGTTACCTCGTCTGTTGCATAGTCATGTATTGCTTTGAAGGCTCATAGTAGTGGTTTCCCAAATAGGAACGACCAGCCCCCTGCGCTGTTGAAGACCTTGAAGGTTCCTGTTACTTCTGCATTCTTTATGTTTATTGTGCCTGTCCACATGGCCTCTGATGGAACAATAGTTCCATTTGCCATGCATAGTATTTGTGATGACGGTCTCCATCCTTTTAGCATGTGCTTGATTGCATTGAATGTGCTCAATGACATGGCTCCTGTCATGGTGCCATTGTCAAACAATGCTTGTATCATTGTTCCTGTGCTGTCCTTGTTCTTTAGTGTGACTGGATGTATGAATGGGACAGGTTGACTCGTGTTATCTGCTACATTGCCTCTTCTTTCATGCACTGCTGCGGAGTATAGATTGATGGTTGCTGGCTCGATATGATGTACAGGTGAGGCTGGTGTTATCGTAGTAGATACGTCGAGGACCTGGGTTGGTGTGCTGTCCATCACAATGACCCTGTCTTGTTTCCCTGGTTGTCTAGCGCTACAAGTCTGATACTGTATGCGGTGCTCCTATTGAACAGACCCAGGACCCTGTTACAAAGTGCTCTCCATGCTGTTTTGTTGCAGCTTAACCTGGATGAATCTCTTTCCGGTGTCAGGCAGTCCCTGCTTCCATGCCTGTGTGTTCCACACCTGAAGCATTCTCTGGAGCATATCATTGTGGTTCCCAGTTGAAGGGGGTACGGTGTGTGTTCTGTGACTCATGCGGTTTCTCCATGTTTCGTGGTCCACAATGCGAGCTGAGACAGGTACCTCCTTTAGCCCTCTTCATTGTCAGGTTGGTGTGGAAGCTGCTCCAATCCTTTCTGTACTGTCTCCTTTAGTTCTTCTGTCAGTGGGGTGTACTGCATGTTGCATCTCAGTACCTGCTGCAGTGTGAATTGCAAGCTGGGTGATGTTGTTGAGGGCGAGGTTCTTGATGCAGTACAGGGCACTGCGACCTGCCCGATTGTGAGGCATTGGAGTTGCGCTGTGATGTCTGCCGTTGTTGCTCTTTTTGCCACTTCCACCTTCTGTAGTAGCTTTTGGTCTTGCTCCTCCTCTCTCCTCTTTCTCTCTTCTATCTCCTCGCATTCCTGTTTCAGCTTTGATGTATTCAGCTTTTTGATGTTGTCCATGAATGTTTTCCAACTCATGTATTCATCGTCTAGTAATTTCCTGACTGCTTGTGGGAGCTGCTTCTTGACCTGCCATATTAACGTGGACCCACCTTCAATCTTTGCTAGCCTTGCGAGCTCCATGGCCTCATCTGCCCATCTTACGTGTGACCACACCTTCTGTCGGCCTACTGTCCTAATTACTCCAACATCTTCTTCGAGCATCTTGTGTGATAGTAATTCCGTTTGGTATTCCTCTGATGTTTGGGATGCACTCTTCGTTGTGGGCCATCTGTCGTTGAATGCCTTGGTCAGCTCGTCCCAGCTGGCTAGCTGTGTTGTCATGAGGTCTTTGTACCAGTGCTTGGCTGGTGAGGGTGGTGGTACCACTGGCAATGGAGTTGGGAGTGTTGTTGGCATGTACAGCAGTGGTAGAGCTGGGACTGACAGTGCTCTTTCCCTTTGGTGGATTATTGCTGCTGATGAAGTCGGTGGGGTTGGTAGCAGTAGTGTGGGGAATACCATGTAGAAGTTGTCGTCTCCTGGGTACTCTGGGGAGTTTGTTCTGGTTGGGGGAATTCCTCAGGTTGAGGCTTGTTCCTGGGGTGATGACGGTGTGTTTTTGGGTGTCTGCAGGTCCGAAGGGAGCGAGTAGTCACTAGTGAAGGGGGTTCCTAACAGTGACCACACTGGGGATATGTCAGGCATGCGGAGAGTCATGAAGCGACCCTGTGCATTGTGTGGTTGGTTTCTGTTAGGCAGGTTGGTAGTGGTGGGGTGGTTGTTTCTAAAGCTTGTTACTTAGCTTGTTCTTTTGTACTCCTCTACACATGTACTCCATGTGGTTGCCTTGCATTCATTTCATGGTGGTTTGTTGCTGTGTTTGTGTGGTATTGCAGTGTGGTGTTACAGTGTGGTGTTGCGGTACGGTGTTACAGTGCCTGGGCTGAATCCACTCTCTTCACCATGTGGAACACTGTGGAATGATGATCCTCTCTCGAATAGTGTCCTCCTGCTGTACAGTGCTTATTGTCTGCGGCTGTGTCCTACACCCCTATCCTGCCTCCCCTACTCCAACAGTACAGTGTACACTCATCCTGTCAGAAGATACCCATCTTTCCTGTTGTCTTTCTCAGTTACTACCTTACAGTTTGTTTTCACACATTGCTGTATGGCTTTGACATCTGACATGTCACCCCCTTTATTTTTCAGAGTTTTGATTCACCTGCCCCACATTTCTCCAATCAGTACCTTACTATCCATGTACTAAATAATTCTGCCTCAGTAACAAAATGAGAATCATCTCTTTTGGGACCCACATTCTGTGTCTTGTGCGAGTCTAAAGAGTTCAAAGAGTCTTCATGTCCTCTGTGTCTGCTGTGTATCTGTGTCTACTGTGTCATTGTGTCCTTGTTTTGCTAGTACTTGTTTTCCTCTCCCATGCACTTAATTTGTCTTGGAGTTACTTCCTTGGTGCAAGATCATTGTCCAGAATTTCAAAAGCAAGTCAGTCCCTACCTTTGACTCTGGAATTAAATTCCGTGACCCACATTCAACTCTTTGACCAACTCTACCATCACTTTCTATGTCTCCTTCCTACTCAGCACCCCTTGGGTTGAGCCTAGGGATTTTCCCTACAGCTTTCCCCTATTCACATGCTACCCAGAGGTAGTGTCCCACAACAGGGCTGACAATGATGGGATGAACCAGGGGGCTCCAGGATGGAAGCTGGTGGGAATGCCTGGCAGATATACATAGCCACTGTCTCTGGCAAATGAGACAAGCAAGATGATTGACAAAGAGGCAGCCATGATTGATGGACTTAGTGAAATGAACATCTGATGGATGGAGTGCTGTAGAAATGTGTAGAGTGTGAGGATCCTCTCCAAATTTGGAAGGAAGAATCATGGGGCTGAGCACTGTAAGCAATTGTGGGAATGGAGTCGATATCTTTGGAAATGGTGGAGATACAATGAAAACCGGAATGCCATACACAGGCACTAAAAACCTTTAATGTGCATTTAACTTGCTTCCTCTTTTCTCTTTAGCACTGACAACTTGTTCTTGTGCAAAGGATGACTGTTAACATCCAGCAGTCTTTCTATGCATGAGGCCTCTAGTCTTCATCTGCATGGCATGGGCATTGTGCACAACTTGTCGATGAGTTAGGCAGAGTCAGCTGTAACCATGTCCACAACACCTTTGGTGTGTGACAGTGGAGCAGTGCTGGACTTACTGAGGCCATCAACTCCATGTACATGTGGTATGCCAATTTGGATCATTGCTATGTCTTCCTCCATGACATCAATGGTCGAAGGCTCCCTGCTCAACAGGACCATAAAAGTTACTCAGAATTCAATGGCTGGCCCAAATGGTTTTCATGTGGGTGGATGCTTCAGGAACTTATTGCTCCCTCAAATGTCCATTTTTTCAATCAGAATTGGGAACTTGTCAGTGACAAGCATGGCCAAGCGCAAACTCTGAGCATCATTACAGGGATTTCAAAGGATGTCTTAGAGAAAGGGCTCAGTTCGTCAAATCCCAGTGTGGCCCAAATTATGTCTTGGGCTGCACACTGGAGGATGACATGAGAGGAAGACTGAGCATACTCATTATTGGGGCTGTTCAGCATTCATATACCAATGTTGTATGAGGAGGGAAAAGGTGCACTCCTTTGGCTGCAACTAGAAATCATATGGATGTCCAACAATCAAAGTATATTTGCATGGTGCTGGACAGGGTGCAAGGACATAGGGTGGTCCCCCAGCTTTCTTGCAGAGGAGCCTGGCTACTTTCATGATTGCTCAGGCATACAGTGGATGGATGTAAACACTCTCTGGAAATGCCACCAGCTAGTGAAGTACCCACTGGATATCAAGGCATATCCAGAGAGATTTCAAATGTTCATGGTCACTAATCATGGGATTCAAATATGGCTATTTCTGAAGAATGATCAGTCTTCCCCAGATCTCTACTCTGTGATGCTGGCATGCCGAAAGGTTGGAGAGCAGAGTCCCATTGTCATTAAAATGTGGCAATTCAACTCCAACTACTCTTGGTGTTTTTACCATCACCCAATTGCCTGGAATGACAAAGAGCTGGCCAAATTCAAGCAACTTTTTCTTCCCTACCAAGACAAAGTTTTTAATAGCCCCCTGGCCAGACAGGTACGATCTACTAAAGCATCATTCAATGTGCCACATACATACTAATGTCAATGTAGAACCAGTTGCCACAGATTTCGTTTGTAGACATCATACCCAGCAATATCATCATTGTGTATGTACTATCATTGGCAGATCCTTCTCATAACCTCTATAAACCTGATTGGTAGGATCTTAGGTCGATCAAGTTCCAGAAAGACCAGTGTAGGCTGATGACAAAGTCTTGACATCAGACTTATGACTATTGGAGAGCAGATCATCAAAAGTCTTATCAGAACCTCACAAGAAGAGGGGGCAGATAGGCTCACAGTCCCTACAATAACTGTCATTGCATATGTGTGCATCAGCCAAGGGAAATGCTATGTGTTTCTAGACATGCCAGCATTCAAACCACAAGTGTTTGAGGTTATACTCAGGAAATTATATGATATGTGAGTCAACTTGATTCTTTCCAGCTAGAAGAGTTAACTGAGGCTTAAGCAGATACCAGAGGTCCATCAGGCTTGTGGGTGTGATCTACACTCACAATGTATTAGCTGGGTTTTCGCAAGATGATGAATGTAATATGCAGATTTTAGAAAATATGTGCAGGGAGGCAATTGGTCATCTAAGGGTGATAACAACCATGTGGGATGTGGTTTATTTCCAATTTGCAATGGAAGTGGAGCACAAATTGATGATGTGTTGCGAGTCACTTGTCAAAGCAGGTGCAAGTTGCCAATGGTTTGTCAATAATCAAGAATCAGCATGGGGAATCTTACATGACCTAGGGGATCAGAAGGTGCCACTTTTATTTCAGAAGGAGATGGAGGAAGGAATGGACTTGTGGGAAACATCTGCGCTCCAAGGATTTGCTCTTCCATGTGAAATGTAGTATTGCTATCTGTTTTGGATATGTACACTTCAACATAAGGCTAGCAAGGATAAGTGGCACTACCAGTAGTTCATACTGTTGTCTCTCCTCTCCTTCTCTTGTTAAGTTGGCTTGGCATGGAAGTCAGGTTACATTTGTCCTGAGGATGAATATCAGAACAAAGGGACCACTCTCGCCAATCAGTGCACATGCTGGAGGTCTGTTCACAAATACAAAAGATTTAGGACATGGTGAGGAGTGAACCTACAGTGCCAAAAGCTCCTCTCTGCCAGGGAGATGGGGTATGATAGTTGACATAGAGAGTGACCCACACAGTATGTGTAATGCCCAATTCTGCTATCAAAAGCTCATCCTGGAGAATGGTCTAACTGACAGCAATGATGAATAGCATTACAATGTGCACCCTGGTGATCACATATGTCAACCTGTGATGATTTGCTATGGGTGCATGTGTTGGCGACAAGACAGATATATTACAGCCAACCTAACACCGATAACAGGGATAAGGTACAGGGTAGAGTTGATGACAGGAAGCATACCTGATAACAGGAGGTTAATGCTAGGGAAGTAAATGATATGCAAGGGGACTATATACTACACAATGAAGTGGGACACAGTGAATAAGAAAGTGAAACAAGATGTACAGTACATCAGGAAATTAACAAAGTCTTATTTGTACTTAAAACACACCTATGTCAGCTTAACATACTTGTGACTGCATGTGGCACTGGGCTAAGCATGCTGCATTTGTTGACAATATTAAGACAAAAGAGCCAACTATTTCATTATCTCATACATCTTATGGATCTTAGTGGTCTTACAGCTGTGTTGGCATAGAGTGCTGTAAGCTCAATAAATTCTAAAGTAAATCAAGTAGTGCAAGTTACAAAAGAATTATGATGCCAGCTTGAACATGTGATGGTCTGCAAAATGATTGACATAGAATCCATGGAATATGTCCAACAAATTGTGACAGTTGACATACAGTGGCTCACAAAATTGTCCCGATGTTTGCATGTCTTTCATTAATCATGGTGTAGTGAGTGAACTATCAGTATTGAAGTCAAGGTGTTGGTGGATGGATCAAAGCAGCTGGTCATGGCTCTCTGATGAGCCATATTACATAATATTTGGATAGAAACTGATGACAGAATACCAAAATGGAAATGAGAGCTCATTGGGACAATTATGTCGAAAAGCCTGCCTGAAGGCTCAGGTGAAGCACAACCCTCCTGGGCACTCCCAGTATCATGGGAGGGTTGGCCAGACTGTACTCTGAGCTGAACTGGGGATCACTGGGAAGGAGTTATTTGGTCATATGAGACTAAAGGAAATATCCAGTGCCAGAATAGAAGGCCAGGAATGTGCAACCTGGTGGCTCAGTAACATATCCCTCCCCATGGTACCTGGAGTGAGAGAGGGTTTAGCTTCACCCTGACCTCCATACCAGTTTCCCCTTCACAGAAATGCACTAGTTAATGGGTGATTTGTTTGATTATGATAGGATGAATGCCAGATTGGACCTCCACATCATTCTCAGCTCTCACAGTACTGATTAGTCCCAGGACACGTGGAGCATTGGTGGGGAAACAGTGCAGGAGATAACTACCAGCAGGTTTCTGAATTGACCAATGGTGCTGATAGCATATTCTATTGATTATACTATAGTGTACACCAGAATTTGTTGAGGTTGCCCTGAGAGAATGTCCCTGATGAGCCAGAATGGTGATTTCTTGACTTGTGTTACAACAAGGAGGCTTAGTGGTGCAAAATCACTGTTTGGCATTGTTTGTTTGTTAACAAATCGTTCAGTAGACCATGTGATACATTATGTAAGCATTGCTGAGCATCTCACCATGTTTTATATGTGTTCCCAAGGACTACATCCCCAGCATATCACAAAGTTACATAATTGTCCCAATGAGCTCTCATTTTCATTTTGGTATTCTGTCATCAGTTTCTATCCAAATATTATGTAATATGACTCATCAGAGAGCCATGACCAGCTGCTTTGATCCATCCACCAACACCTTGACTTCAATACTGATGGTTCACTCACTATACCATGATTAATGAAAGACATGCAAACATCGGGACAATTTTGTGAGCCACTGTCTGGTGGGACATACTTGTCCCAAAAAATTGGTAGGAGATGCATGCTATGAATGATACTGTCAATATGTATTACTGTGAGGTGTGAGCTGTCCTCCACAAAAGACAGTGTAACCATCCACATGCCTGTCAATTTGTCAGGTTTATCAGTGATTTGATCAAACCAATGGATCAGTGTGCATGGGAATGTCTGGCCATTGGTGTGAACAAAAGAGAAAAGACACAAAACTTGAGCAACATCCATGCTGAGCATTCCTTCCTTCATATCATCTGTGCTCATGAAGATGCAGTCATACTGTCCAGAACCTTGACACCATGAAGGCATTGCACAAATGTATTCATGCTGCTTTCTGCCAATACCACTTGGGTCACTTGGGGCTATGAAGGTTGCAGTGGCTGAATGAAAAATCTTGACACAACCAGTGAAGGGAGTAACATGGTAGGAAGCAATCAGCATAGAATCTGGGTGGAGTTGTTCAAAGATAAATTGAGCAATGAGCCCAGGGAGTGAAGGGATAATGGTTATGAGCTTGACAAGAGTTCATGTTAGTATGCTCAAGCCAACTCAGGCACTGTTACACTCAACTGAAGTCAAGATGTAGGGAGAGCTCAAACACAGACTATTGGTTTCTTACTGAGCAATGGCTGCAGTAACCTTTGTAAACAATGAAGGATTTAGTCAACACCAGTAAGAGTGGTCTGGGTAAGGGACACTGAGGGTGAAGTTCTGAGAACACTGCATATGATTGAGCAGCTCAAGTCTGGGGTTCCAGGACTTGAGCTGGCAGTCTAAATACTACAGGGAAACAGACCATGAGGCATCTGCATGTAATGAGGTAACTACACTATTGGTTGAACAATAGTGACACATGTTCTAAGCATGTAGTGAGAGGGAAATGCTAGTGGTGGAAATAGAGAGCTGTCAGATCAGAGAGAAGATGGCTCGAAAAGGAAAAGTAGTCCATCAGAACAAACACACAGCAATCATTTGGTGAAAAGAAGTAAAACAGGGGTAAAACATAACATTACCCCCTTTCTAAGCATTGAAGTCCCTGACTTCAACTACTCTCCATAAGGTTCTCTGGTCATGTTACTAATGGCAGAGTCATTGAAATCAAAGTCATTGTTGTACAAGTCATTATCCTTGCTCCCAACAAGGGTATGATCATCTACCAAAGTGGGTGTAGCAATTCTTTCTTGTAATGGGTAGTGAGGGCATATAGACAGACACTGGCCTTGGGTGTGTTCAGGATGAGTGGTGTGACAGAGGGGACATTCATAGAGTCCACAATTTATATGAATGTGCCCAAGGCAGCAGCAGACATAGCATGCTTGATGGTAGTGTGGATCAGACAGGGTGAGAGGGTGATCAGCCTCAGCAAGTTTGTTAAGAACAGAGTGGGGAGGTAACTGTGCATGGCTTTCAAATTGACTCATAGTTAAGGCAAGTTTGGCATCAGAGACACCAAAAGTGACCATCAGGTCGACAACAGATGGGGACAACGAGCCATGAGACTCACAGGGATGTGGATTGGGGCCAGAAAGGTAACAGGCATGAGGTCTGTCTGCCCTTCGAAGAGAGCCAAAGGAACAGCACCATGACAGTGATGACACCAGGGGTGAGGATGACATGGAAGAGACCAGGGGAGAGGTTGCAGTTGAGGGTTTTCTAGACCCAGGAGGGGGAGGAGTGATCAGTGTGGGATGTCGATGAATGTTGCAGATGAGGTCAGCACCTCCTAACACATCAAAGAGTCAAAGGAGCAGGGGAACCTGCTCATGGGCAATTTCATTTACAGCTGTTTGCAAAACAATGCAGAAAATCTGTTTGAAAATTAGTCTGTTTGGATATAGCTGGGATAGGACCCCAAAACCACCTCTATGGTAACATTGTGTACTGTAAGCACATACTTAGACTTTTTCCCTATGGCAGACTTGTTTTTCAACATGTCATTGCCATCACAATCCCCCACTCCTGACACAGAAAGATTACATTCTTTCACAATCTCACTTTCTGTCTATGGACCCAAGAAAAAGGAGAAGGGAAAGACTGCACAAAAAGTGACCATGAAGACAAAAGAGCTTTCTTTTGCTGTCAACAATACTAACTACCTCAATTTTCTACAACATGTACTGGACAAGCATGGTCAAGGACAATATAGGGTCTCAAGCAGTAAACATTTTCCCTTCAAGTTTGTACCACCCAAAGCACAGAGGTAAGTCATTTCTCACTCTGTAAATCTGTGCTAACCATGCTTTACCTTAGCCAAGCTGTCAGTAATGTGATTGATGTTAATAATGAAGTTGACTACAAGGATATGGTCAAGAGGATTCATAGCATTCACCCTGGCTGTCAAGTACAGGTTTACCCTCAGGTGACTGGGCTTCAAGACCAGGTGACAGGGGCTAAGTCCAGATGGCCAAAGTCAAGGCTGGGAGACAGGGGCCAAGTCTGGTTGGACCAGAGTTGAGGCTGGAGGTCAGGGGCTAAGTCTGGAGGACTGGACTTAAGGCCAGGAGTGTGGGAACAAGACTGGTAGCATGGGAAACCAATTGGTCTTGGGGTGCACACAGGGGGAAGCTGGTCTGGGGTTGGATCTACCTCCCTTGGTCTCAGCTTATGTGCTGTACCCTTATGCAAGCTGGGGAGAGGTCTGGGACAGGGGCCAGGGATAGCTTAAGGCTCGGCCTTAGCTATAGAGTAGTCTTGGGGTGTAGTACAGGAGTTGAGGGTAATACTTAGTTGATATTCTGACTAGGGTGCTACAAAGTATGTACAGGGGTTAAATACATGAGGCCAGTCTGGGATAACGAACATAGAGCCAGACTTGTTAATAAGCTATTAGCAAGAAGATTAGCAAGAGGGTGGATAGCCACAGTGGCTGTGCCAAGGCTAATAGCCAAAGTCCAGGTGACTGGCATAACCAGGGTCAGACACAGGATTTGTACAGTAAGCAAAAGTCAGATGAATGGACCAAGCTAAATATAGTACAACAAGGAAAACAGACTGGAGTTATGTCCAGGTGACCTGGACATGGACCTGGGAGGACCAGGGTGGAGCAGCACAAGGCTGGAAGGCTGGAATGGACTGGAGATAGGGGTGAAAGACTGGACTTGAGTTATTCAGGCCCAAGCTGGGTTATCTAGGACTGGGGTTGTGTTCTCTAGGCTGGAGTCAGGCTTTCCAGGCTGGACCAGGGCCGGACTTGACCGGAGTTAGGGGCTAGGGGTCTGGACTGGACCAGGACCGAGTCCAAGAGTCATGGATATGACACTGGCCCAATGAAGATCTATGTCAATATGAAACATGTGGAGAAACTTCCAACTATTGATGGCTCTGGAGATGAGAGCAATTCATCTGGTGAGGATAGTGGAAAGCAGAATCATTCAGACCTCAATATGTGCCTTGCCCAGTGGTGCATGAAACTCCTGAGCCAGTACAAGAATGAGAATGATGAGGGAATGACTTACATCAGGCCAGCAGGGCCAATCTCCCTTTCACCTGCCATGGTACTGGACTGGTGCTGTGCATTGGTAAGTCCTTTGCTACTCATGAACATTCTATCCCTAAACTATCTGTTGGATGAAGGGCAAGCTACATTGTTGGTTCCCCCAAACCTTGAGTCTTTCAATTGGAGCAACAGAGTGCTGTTTTTGCATCCAGCCCACAAAGTGCAAGCCCAGGCATCACAAAATATTGACATCAACTCTATTACTGGTGTTCTCCTTCTTCATATGCTTGCAAACTCTGGCCTCCTGTCACCCAGTGTATCTAGAGCCCACACTCAGCTCTGCCTCCTGTGACACCCACACACATGCCACCAGATCCTCCCATTTCACCACCTGTCCCATCTCCATCTCAGCTCTCCTGCTTTCTTTGCTACACTGAAATGAACCTCAGTGTTCACAACACCACCCTCTATGAATGGGAACTTGAACTCCAGTCAATCAGGCCTGACATCCTCATGGATATTGATGACCAGACACTCACTAGGGCTGGTATCATCACTGGTGACATCATTCATCTCAAGAAGGGAAGTTTACTTTGGTGGAATGGTCCTGATGCAAAGAGGAAGTGTAGTGACACTGGGGCATCATCAGGCAATGAGTGAGTGGGCCAAGCCTCATCCCCACCCACCAGGCCATCAAAGAAGATCACATATGAGAAGTGATTCAAGGATTGTGGTGGGTGTCATTTCACAGCATCTCCAATGATGATTGACAAAGATGACAATGGTAGCAAGCTGGCCCCACTCAACTACAACCTTTATTATCACTGCAAGAGTCAAGATCAGTGGTTACCTGTGCCCCAGGGTTTTGTTGTCAATGAGACTGGGGAGGTGTCATAACTGTGCATTCACTCTAAGTCCTTACTCACTCCACACCCTCTTCCACCAGTCATTCACTCACGCCACACCAACTCTGCCCAACTTCTGTCAGTTATGAACCATCTCTGCTCTGACTGCTGTCAGACTTGTGTTGCTCTCCTATTGGACAGAGTGGATCATTCTCTGAGGGGTCATGTGACTACCTTCAGACTTCTCCCTGACAGCATGCAGTCAGGTACTCTGCAGTGCATGCACTGCATGGTCCAGCACCTGGACTGTTTCCTTTTCTGGATGTTCTATGTTACCCATTCATATGTCCTCCATCTGCCCTTCATTCATTGTCTAGGAAGTTTTACTTGAAAATTTCTGGGTCTCTGTATGTCAGTTATGATTCCAGTTACTGTACCTCTGTAGTAGTATAAAAGCATGTATCATACTCCACCATTCTTCAGTATGAATACCAACTTAGTTCCTACTCCTTCTGTCTCTGTCTTCTGTCTGTCAGAAGTTACCTCTGACTCTCTGTCTGTACTCTCCCTCTGAAATATGAGGGCTGAGATCATGCAAGGGGGTAGTGCATGAGCTAAACCCAATGCCCTCACCCTGCTCCACCCTTGCCTCAGTGGACTTTGTTCCTGCCACCACTCTGCCAGTTGGAGTTCTGTTCCTTTGTGTTGGACTTGCTTTCAAACCACTCTCTAGACCTTGTTTAGCATTGGGGTTGGTCAGAGTAGGCCTGGACTTGACAGGAGGAATCAGGGGATGACATTTTTTCTACATAAGGCCTACATGCCTTGCTTCATGTAACACTTATGTCATATACATACAGTGGCTCACAAAATTGTCCCAATGTTTGCATGTCTTTCATTAATCATGGTGTAGTGAGTGAACTATCATTATTGAGTCCAAGTTGTTGTGGATGGATCAAAGCAGCTGGTCATGGCTCTCTGATGAGCCATATTACATAATATTTGGATAGAAACTGATGACAGCATAC